GTTTGTTTTGAGGAAACGGGAAAGAGGAAGAAAAGAGAAGGGAAAAATACATAATTTTAAGGAAGAAGGAGAGAAAAAAAAACGGGGACTATGGGGAGAAAAAAGATTCAGATTACAAGGATTATGGATGAACGTAACAGACAGGTGAGTAGCAAAAAGTAGTGTATTTGAACATCATATTATATTTCTGAGGTGACTTATTCTCATAAGTGGTTAAAAAGTTGTTAACTTTGTGTGCATTAACTTATACCTACATACACATACACATACACATACACATACACATACACATACACATATACATATACATATACATATACATATACATATACACAGCGTATGGAAGACTGTCAAAGAAAAAGTCATTTTGGAAACAACCAGAAACCTCACACACAGTTTTATCAAGTTCAGTAACACGTGTAGTTAGGAATTTGTTACTGGAGGCCTTGATCCTACAAAGACTGGTGTAAGACTGATGTGTAGGCTCTACATTGGGCCGCCTCTACATGCGCTTTGACTTTGGTGTGTAATATACACGGTTAAGTACATCTGCAAGTTGTTACAGGATACAGGCTTTTAGTTCTGTATTTTGTGAACTATTACAATATTATTTATTTGCAGAAGGAATTTAAATTCAAGATCCAAATTATTTCAGTTTCTACATGTTTGCGGTGTTTTTATTTTTAGCTCCTTCATATAAAAATGACACTACTTCATAAAAAAACCCCTCATCTTTTCCTGTCTGAATTTTAAAAAGAATTTGAGTAGCCTAACACATTCTAAAACCAATATACAATAATATTGGCATGTTGTAGTTTTGAAACAGTCTCCGTGACTGATGGTATGGCTAAATAGGTCCAGCAGGACTGGTTAATTAATTATTACCACTGCTTTAGATAAAATAGCTGAGTAGCTGTCATATATTACCAACACTGTCTATTCTAGTTAAAATATGGTCATAAGTAGAGAAACTGCTTTCCTATTTTCAGAAAATAAGTTCACCAATTGGCATATTAAAATCAAATCACTGAAAAGCTGCTGTTGTTTACATTTGATGTAAACAGATGGATGTTATGTTGAAACTGGAGAATCACAAGTGTGTAAAAAATTTTTTCCATAAAATCATTTAACACTATGATTAGTGTTCATACATGTAGCTGCATTTTGGGAGTAATATCAGTAGCTGCTTTTTAAGAACTTGATACTGAGTTTCTATTAATATATTAGTTCTAGTTTATTAGTTATTAGTTTATATATTAGTTCACTTGATCTATAAATTTCCTCATATATTCAGGTTGTTTTTAAGACGTTATGTTGTTAGTCTTCAAGGATTTTATAAAGCCATAAAAATCTCAGCCTAGTCATAACAACAAATTATAATCTTTACGTATGTTTTCTGAGAATTTTTAAATTTTGTAGTGTTAGTAGTCAGTTGTGTTCTCCATGGCAGAAAATTATGTATAAAAGCAAAATTATATTTATGATGGATGCATTTTGTATTTTCCCTGAAGGTTGCCTATTGCTGTAGGCCAAGCCAAAAAGCAATAATTCTATCAATATAAAAACATCACCATATTTATTTTAATTGGTTTATAGCTTGGAATTGAAATGGGATTTAAAATATTGAACTGAATTTATCATTAAACATTAAGACGTTAGTTGCTTGGAACTTTCCCATACTACCATAATTTCTTTTTGAAATGAACCTGAATTATCTTGTAAAGGATACTACAAAATTTTGACATCAGTAATATGAGTTCATACAGCATCTTCGGTGTCAACTTGCTTACTCAAATATGGGATATACAGAGAATTTATTCCCATTTTGTCAGAGAGATACCTTTCAAGAGACTACATGGGCTTTAAAAACTGAAGACAGCTAGTCTTCCAAGTCATTCACAGTAGGGTTTCAAGACTTCTAGCACCAGCTTTCAGAACTAATAATGATGAATAGAACTCTAACAATGGTAGCAACTGTAATGTTAGTGTAGAAAGTGTTTTTCTTGCTAGCATTTGATAATATCCATCATGCTGATTAGTCACTGTGAGGCTGAAGGTGTAGATTTACATTACTTTACCTCCACATAGTATAATTGGCTTGATTCTGCTTCTCATTTCTACTAATATATTGAAACATAATTTAGAAAGCATTTCTACTGGTTTTATCGTCTTTGCATTTACTGACCTGATCTAAAGCTCAGTGAAGCTGATGAGAAGATCTCCTTTGATTCATTTGGACTGTGCAATCAGGCTTTTTAGTTGTAGTGATACATATGTGATTAAATACAACTGGATTTTCACAAATAGCTGATTGATCTTTTAACCATTTGTATGAAATGTGCTCTTTCACAAGTCTTAAAATATTGTGTATTCCATGAGCTGTCACTGCTTCAGTGAAGCTGCATCAGTTTATTTGTTTTCTAACTTCCACACTTCCAGTACTCTTAAAATAGTAACTGGCTTATATTTCTGCTTTTTTTTTTAACCTGATGACATAAATGTATTTGAATGCACAGAAAAGATTTAAAGGTCACACCAGGAAATAAAAAAGGTTAAAAGTTTTTTATTAATGAAATTAAGGTATGAACTGAAGCCCGGTTCCACAAAGGTTATTTGTAGCTCCATTTGCCGTGATATGGATGGAGGCCATTTTCGTTTCTTTCTTACCACCTCACCGAAAGACGTTTGCAAGAACAGCAGCAAATCTGTTGATGTGAAATTGCCTCATCGTTGCCTGTGTTCAAACTCAGTGTGGTTTCAGAGTACAAGGCATGTTAGATGGGAACATGATATACACGGATAGTGCATCCTCAGCTGTTTTCAAGCACATAAATTCTCCACAGGACAGCACATAACAGGGAAAATTAGGTTGAACACATAGCGAAGGAGGGGATATAGCAGTAGTTTAGTTCTTCTGCCCTCTCCCATTGCAAGGGTGAACCTGTTTCAGTAACAGTTTTTGAGAAAGGGTTTAAGTTGTTACAAGGCCGGTGGAAGGTGATTTCTGTCCTTGCTTTTCCACTCATTTGCCCAGTGTCCTGACTAGCCGTTTAGGTTAACTATTGAGTGGGTTACTTCCTCTATGAGCGTAACTGCTGTTATCTTACGTATTACTATCTGCTATGGTAGGAGTCTCCCTACTGCTCAAAGTGCTTGTATGAGGGTACTGGGAAATACAAAAGTAGTGCTGAGGATTTCTTCTGAGCAAGTCTAGTTAGTTGGATTTGTGTAGTTTAGTGACAGTACTGGTAATACGCATAAGTTGTAACCATCCGGAGTCAGATGTCTGGCTGCACATCTCAAAGAAATGTGCAATACAGGGATACGATCGTTACTTCTCCAAAAACTGTTTGAAACTTTGACATTCTGGGATACGTTAAAGGAAAACTACTGCAACCCAGGCGTTAGACACCCAGCCCTTTCTACTCTGCACTGCGTAAGAGCTCTGTCATTGACTTCAGTGAGTGCAGAATTCAGGCTTTAAGCTCGGAGGAGCCATTAACTTAATGTTGTTTCATGTGGGCTGACACTTGGCTATATTTTCCTGGCCCTCATAGATACTGTGTGGTGACAAAGGTGGCAAGGATGTCTGAATCTTCTGTGAGTGATCACAAATCCTCTTTGGCAGTGAAACTTTCAGAAAAGCCCATCTGAAAAATTCTCTTTGACTCTGCTTTTAGCCACAGGGAGAAGGAATATGAACAACTTCTAGGGATAGAGTAAATGTGTATTTATTTGTGTAGTTTAGTTAACATAATGATATTAAATAGAAATTAAAACCCTCAAGAGAGTTACAAGCAGCCAATGTGACAAGACACTTTCTTTTTATTATTGCGACAATGAATAATACAGTCTTCTTAAATGTGAAATAAATCTCTGGTAGTGTTGCTGAGGCTCATGAGCTTGTGGTAGCCTTGTCGGCAGCCCATCTGAGTAGACTGCATGCATGATATTTGTTTCACCACCAATAGAACCCACAGCCAAAAATATTAGCACTGGCATCTGATTTTTGAAGCTCCTGACTGCTACAGGTTGCTTGCGTAGAAATTGTGATTGGGCAGATCAGGGCAGGCTGCTGTGCAGAATTCTGGGTTGTTTAGAAAAAAGAGGAAGGGCATTTGCAAAAGCATGAGTGAACTTTGCTTTCATGTTTTCTTAATTGGAAAAAATTAATCCAACTAGCTATGCTATGGTCAACATGTGAAGGAAGAATTGCATTCATCGCCCTCAAAAAGTCCTTGTATTCTTCCTACTTGTTTTTCATCAGTTTGAAATATTTTTCTGGTTTTAATGGGGGCCTTTTGTGGTCTGCTGTAGACTGGGATCATCTGAAACTCTCTGCAACATTCCAGGCAGGGCTGCCCAGGCCTGAAATAAATAGGTATAATGACGTAAATGATATTATATTACTGTTATACAAGGTCACTTACAAAATATCTCATTAAATCCAGGGTCTGTGAGCTAAATCCAGAGTTACATTGACCCAGGAGAGAAGACATATTGACCCGATGACATTCTGGTATTGGGTCTGGGACACCCTCTTCCTTTTAATGCACTGTTATTTCTATTTAGTATTAAGAAATATCAAGTCTTATATGGCAATCCATGGTTTTTTATCCCTCTGGTCATCTTGCTCATTAGTTCTGCTTTTTTTTTCCTGCTTATGAAGCAGGCTGTTGTCAGATTCACAGTTAAAACTGAGTTGAGTTTGGCTAATGATTCTGCATACTGTTTAAAGCATCTTTTTCAAATTCTAATGAGCTGCTGGGAGCTTAAGTGTTATTAAATACCATAGGAAGTGCACACTTCAATATGAAGGTCCTTAAATAGTAAGACACTTTTTGAAGTATCACGCCTGTGTAGTTCTAAGGGGTATGGCAGTAGCAAACACTTGCTGTTTAACTTTTTCATGCATAGACTTTTTATCATTCTTTGATTGCAGCAAATCTGTAAAGCTATAAACCAAGACTTACTGCAGTTGTCCGCTCAATAAAGAACAAATTAAACCAGATAAGTAAAGTGGGGTTATGGGGCAGGGGAAGAATATCCTGGAGGGAAATGACCGTTTGCAGGAAGACCTAGATTTGTTCTACTGACTTCGATACCTAATGCTGCTGGTTTCAAAACTAATTTCAGCCTCGTGT